TGTAGATATACCGTAAGTGCCTAAGGGTGTGTCTACATTGCTATGTAAGCCCAGGGTTCAAACTCAGTCTCTAGCCTAACTCCACCTTCTGTCTACCCAAAAATTGCACTAACCCCAGGCTTGGACCCAGGTGGTGATGGAGGGTCCGAGCCTGAGTCAAGCCAGGACCCAGGATGCAAACCCTATTGCTTTGTAATGTAGACACAGACCCACTGGACTCATGCTCTAGGGGTCCACTAAAGTATTCCACAATCCAATGGGATGATTTTCTTTATCCTCTGCACAGTTAAGTTTGATGGACAGTGAAGTTTTCCCATGCTGCATGAAGTAAGGGCTAGAGCGGCCACATTTTGGAGGGCATTAGGAAGTCTGGAATACGGGTGGGGGTTGGACTCAGGCCTGAATAATGCAGTGTGGACACTGGTGCCCCAGGTTGGGACCCAGGGTTCAACAATTCCTCACTTAGGTTACAAATGAATGTAGAAGCTCAAGCCCTAGGTTAACGAACCCAGGGTCTGCTAACTTGAGTTCTACTAACCTTGGGCTTACATAAGACATACCTTTAGTCATGTTTGAAAATGGGACTAAGGCTCCTAGGTCATTTAGATGATTTTAAAAATGTTACCTTCAGTATCGATAATTTAAACATTAAAAACAAACAAACAAATGTTCAGGCCTCCTTTACCTTTTGAAAACAATAAAATAGAGAAATTCCCATGCAAAAACTCTATTAGCTGACAGTTAATGTTAGGACAATAAATAATGTAACCCTACTGAAAATACATAAGAAGGGCGTCCCCATTTAAAAAAACCCTCCAATCCTTAAAGATGGAAATATCAAGCTGAGGTAATGTCTATAATATAATCCATAAATTTCATATATTAGTTTAACAATATTACCAGTGAAAATTATCCTTACATATTCCAGTAGTAAACAGTGCTACAGACATATACATTCCTAATTAGATGTTTTGTATACTCCAGGATAGACAGACAGATCTCTCTCTCTCTCTCTCTCTCTCTCTCTGTAAGTACATAATGTGGGTCAGAGTTAGGGTTGTTATGAGAATGTGTAATGTGAATTTTTGCATGTCAGTATTGCTAAGCAAATTTATGAACAATAGGGTTTATCGAATATTCTTACAGATTACCTTAATTTGCCATTCCCATACATGTTAAGGTTTAGTATTTTTGAATGGCAATCTTTTTGTTAGCTATTGTGTATGATAGACTTAAATTCTCCACAGTCAATTTTGCTATGTTTTTTGTGGGAGAATCACATGCATTTTCTCTCCCTCCCTTCCTTTGCACGTGGATAGAGGTGGGCTATAATGAATGGAAAGTGAAGCTATTGCAGCCTGTACCCTGCTGTACACAATATAGACATATTTATAGATAAAGTTCAAGGTGTGCTGCAGATTGTTTTAATTTTAATAATCCCAGGAGAAATTCTGAGCAGTGTAGAACTTCTGCACCATCCCAAAGAATCCAAAACTCTTTTTGGCTAATGCCATGAATACAGCACCACTGAAATGCAGCCACTCTAGGGCAAGAGACAGGACTCAATCATCACAAAAAGAACAGGAGTACTTGTGGCACCTTAGCGACTAACAACTTTATTAGAGCATAAGCTTTCGTGGGCTACAGCCCACTTCTTCGGATGCATATAGAATGGAACATATATTGAGGAGATGTATATACACACATACAGAGAGCATGAACTTTTTTTTTCTCTTACTTAATTGGCCTCTCAGAGTTGGTAAGACAACTCCCACCTGTTCATGCTCTCTCTCTCTCTGTGTGTGAGTGTGTGTGTGTGTGTGTGTGTGTATATATATCTCCTCAATATATGTTCCATTCTATATGCATCCGAAGAAGTGGGCTGTAGCCCACGAAAGCTTATGCTCTAATAAAGTTTTTAGTCGCTAAGGTGCCACAAGTACTCCTGTTCTTTTTGCGGATACAGACTAACATGGCTGCTACTCTGAAACCTGTCAATCATCACAGTACGTCATAGAGTTGGGGAGGGGAGGCAGGGTTGGACAAGGATACTGGGGCAAGTTACCTCTCTTAGGAAAAGTGTCATGGGATATTTTATGTCCCCATAGCACAAGCAGGAGCTCAGTTTTTAACTGGTCTTCTCCTGCTTAATGACATTCTCTCCTTATTCATTTTGATACTTCAGATGCTTTGTCAAGGATATGCTGTCAGATCATCTCCCAGTAAAACTACCTACTGCACACTCCAGACATGGATTTTCTGTTATTACAGGCTCTTTGCATTGGACACTGAGGTAAGAAGAAGCCTCAGAGAGACAGTGTTGTCCCCTTAATTGTAGTAGAAACATCATAAATCCGAAAAATAAAGTGGTGTCGCCAGCTAACCGCACTGCAATTCTGAACACCCATCGGCTAATCCCCGTGCCCTGAAAACACAACACATCCATGAGCTCCCAAGGTAGGGGTGGTGCCATACACAATACGATCATTAGAGCTGTTGATTAATCGCAGTTAACTCCCGCAATTAACTCCACAATGAAAAAATTCAGCGTGATTAATCGCAGTTTTAATTGCACTGCTAAACAATAGAATACCAATTGAAATTTATTAAATATTTTTGGATTTTCAAATATATTGATTTAAATTACAACACAGTATACAAAGTAGACAGTGCTTACTTTATATTGTTGTTTTTATTACAAATATTTGCACTGTAAAAATGGCAAACAAAAATATTTTTCAATTCACCTCATACAAATACAGTAGTGCAATCTCTTTATTGTGAAAGTGCAATTTACAAATGTAGATTTTTTTTTTTGTTACCTGTACATCTGAAAGTGAGAACAGGCAGTTCTGTAGCCGTCATTGCAAGGTATTTAAGTGCCAGATATGCTAAACATTCGTATGCCCCTTCATGCTTCGGCCACCATTCCAGAAGACATGCTTTCATGCTGATGATGCTCGTTTAAAAAATAATGCATTAATTAAATTTGTAACTGAACTCCTTGGGGCAGAATTGTATGTCTTCTACTCTGTTTTACCCACATTCTGCCATATATTTCATGTTATAGCAGTCTTGGATGATGACCCAGCACATGTTGTTCGTTTTAAGAACACTTTCACTTCAGCGTTGACAAAACGCAAAGAAGGTACCAATGTGAGATTTCTAAAGATAGCTACAGCACTCGACCCAAGGTTTAAGAATCTGAGAGTGATGAGGTGTGGAGCATGCTTTCAGAAGTCTTAAAAGAGCAACACTCCGATGTGGAAACTACAGAACCCGAACCACCAAAAATGAAAATCAACCTGCTGGTGGCATTTGACTCAGATGATGAAAATGAACATGCATCGGTCTGCACTGCTTTGGATGGTTATTGAGCAGAATCTGTTATAAACATGGATGCACGTCCTCTTGAATGGTGGTTGAAGCATGAAGGGACACATGAATCTTTAGTGCATCAGGCACATAAATATCCTGTGACACCGTCTACAACAGTGCCATGCAAACCCTGTTCTCACTTTCAGGTGATACTGTAAACAAGAAGCGGGTAGCATTAACTCCTGCAAATGTAAACAAACTTGTTCGTCTGAGCGATTGGCTGAACAAGAAGTAGGACTGAATGGACTTGTAGGCTCTAAAGTTTTACATTGTTTTATTTTTGAATGCAGCTCTTTTTGTACATAATTCTACATTTGTAAGTTCAACTTTCATGATAAAGAGATTGCAATACAGTACTTGTATTAGGTGAATTGAAAAATGCTATTTCTTTTGTTTTATACAGTGCAAATATTTGTAATAAAAATAAAGTGAGCACTGTACACTTTGTATTCTGTGTTGTAAGTGAAATCAATATATTTGAAAAAGTAGAAAATAGTTTTGGATATTTAAATAAATGGTATTCTATTATTGTTTAACAATGTGATTAATCACACTATTAATTGTGATTAATTTTTTTAATAGTGATTAATTTTTAAAAATTGCTTGACAGCCCTAATGATCATTAAGGTAACTGCTGTAGTTACACAGTGACCTAGTAGTATTTTAAAAGGCCTAATGAAGAAGAAAATAAGCATTGCTATTTGGTATAAGAAATGGTCCCTCTAGGAAATATTAAACCATATTCCCGCCTGCACCCAGGGAGCTGTTTTACCCATGTCCAAAGGAAGACCTGTGCCTCTGAGAAAACATGCTACGCCACTAGCTAGTAGATGTCTCTGTTACACGCACCTACTGTTCCACATGGAATGGATGAGAAGTTTCAGTAGGAGCTCATGTTACAGCTGAACATAATCAATCTACTTTATTTATCTGAAACGTGAGCAAACATTCTGTAAAATGTAATCCTAATTTTAAAGGTATTCTCATTTTTTTAATTGCCAAAAGGGTGTCCTGCATCCAAAAGTATAACTGCTGTTTATAGCGTGGATATAAAAATGTGCTGCATGCTAAATATGCCATGCAAGTCAAGAATACTAAATACACATACACTGTATCTCATGGTGCTGGGAGATGTCTATGATTTGAACCTCTCAGTACTAAGGCTATATATCACATATGTCATGACAGAAACAGGATGGATGCTATCTATCTATCTCGTGTGTGCCACAGCAGAAGGCAAGATGCATGCTAAGCATATCATATATGTCATAACATATCCTGCATAGCAAGCAGCTGAGCTATTGTTGGGACGCTCTGCCTGACACACGGAGCGTGGCTTTGGAGTCTTGCAGACGCTCAGTCATGCCATAATACAAAGATTGGTTTGGAACGGGTGATACGTGTCTCACCCATGCCAACAATAGCATGCATTTGTGCACGGCCGCAGCAACCCTCCTCCCACGTCTGCAGCAAGCTGAGCCCCCGCGCAGGGCTCGAGTCCGGAGCACTGGAGCGTAGCCCGGCTTGGCGGTGGGGAAGGAGGAAGAGGAGGGTGAGGGGGACTCATCAGAGATGCGCTGGCTCGCGGGGGCGGGGCCGTGGGAGGGACCAGAGGCCGGGGCGCTGCTGCTGTCGCTGCTGCTGCACTGGGGGGGCCGCCGGCGGAGCTCAGCGTCCCGCTCGCTGGTGCAATAGGACAGCTCAGCGCGGCTAGCAGAGGAGCCGGCGGAGAACCCGGGGGTGCAAGTTACCAGGCTTCCCGCAGCTGGAGTCTGTCCCTGGCTGGCTGGCACTGGCCGTCCCCTGGCTGCTGAAGGACTGAACGCACCTCGCTGCCACCCCCAAACAGATGTGAGCGAGCCTGGAGAACTGAACCCCAGCTCGCAGTCAACAGTGTCCTCCTCTCCCCCGCAGCACCAGAGAGGGTGAAATATGTGGCAGCCGGCAACCGAGAGACTGCAGGTAAGAGAGGCGGGCAGGAGGAGAAACTGAGGCGGGGCTGGCGTTTCTGCAAAGGAACAGGATCATGTGATTGTAGGGTTTGTGTCAAAAATATGCAGGGGGCATTGGTAAGACCTTGTTTTGAATTCGTTCCCCGCCACCCCCATGGCCGTGCCTAGATCACGCTTACAACTTTCATCTGGTCTTTCTGTGTGTAGTTCTGCCCAACAATTTAACATTGCATTCCACTGACAGGATTTACAGGTCCGGGGTTGGGTTTCTTGAATCCAGATGTGGGTGTAGTTTTTGTTTGTTTGTTTGTTTTTTGTTTTTGTCTTTTACAAAGAAAGAACAGATGATTTGAAAATCTTTGGGTTTGCATTTATCATGTTATCTCTCTAAATTTATGCTCATCCTGAAAATAGGATTTTAATTTTCTTTCTGGTTATTGCAACTCCTCTCCATTCCCTTTTTTCTTTTTAAGGGGAAAAGTTTATAAAGAATCAAAACTAGTCAGATATTGGGTTAGCCAATTCATTGACTCCTGCATACAAACAGGAAAATGTTTGTTTAATGGGATTTGGATGGCGGGTGCAGGAGAGTATTTGGGGTTGAGCAATACTGAAAATTGGACGGTCTAGTTCTTTGCAGGAGTCATCAGTGACACGTATTAAGGTCTCAGGGGGCTCAGGCCCAGGGTTGTCCTTACTGCAGGGTTTTGCTCCATGTTTTTTGCTCTGAAATGTTCTCCAGATGGTCAGCCAGACAGATTGCCAGATGAATTTACACAATCCCACAGACAAACTTTTTGGCATGCCTAAAGCAGCATTAAATCTCATAGTAAACTTTGAAGAACTGTTTAAGTGGCAAAATAAAACAACGTTTAAGGCAGAATGAATTTGAAGGCATAGGACATAAAGAAAATATACTGAAAGGAGGGGACAGGCAGCATTATTGAGGCATGCAAAATAATGATTTAACTTGAAGTTCAGAGATCAGTAAGTAAACATATAATCCTCATGAAAAGTGGTAAGTAAAGTTCACAAACTGAATTCATTTTTGCAGTGAGGAGTGACCTGTTTAGAGAGTATCAGTATCTTTGTAATACTGAAGATTCCAACTAGATCACGGATGCTCTAAATTTCAAGGGAGATTATAAATGGGGTGGGATAACACATTTACATATTTGTTGCAAATAATCAAACCTCAAATAAGGAACTCTACTCTGGGATGCTAAGGTGATATTAATAAATGTTCTGAAAGGCCTTATTTGAATACAAATCTGCATTCATACAGCACCTAATTGAGTGCAATGTAAGCTTATTTTAACTTTTCACTTATCTATAAAGGCCTGTGTGTGTGTGTGTGAGAGAGAGAGGTATTGATGCAGCATCACTTTGAAGATTGTGTCATGGTAGTAGTCAAAATTCTTTGATGTGCTTTCTTTGTGACTTTGGGCTCTTGCTCTTCTGAATATGTTTGATTTTTTTTTTTTTTTTATCTATTCAAGTTATTCATGCGCAGCATGTTTTACTTAGGGAAGTGTGTGGGTTCCAAAGCCCATGACACTTGGCAACTGAACTATTCTGGCATATATTCTGCTTTGTGATATTTCCATATTAGAAATATCAGCTTTCATTCCATGATTATTTGGCTATACAACTGTTGCTTCTAGTGCTTCTTGTTGTATTCTTTGTCATGTTAGTAGTCTTTTCTTAAACCGGTTTATATAAAATTTGTGATATAATGAAGAAAGGGCCTGCCTCATTAAAGACAATGGTTAAATTTTATAAAATCTTATGAAAAATACCATTAATGGGACACTGACAGAGTTGACAGATGCAAAATGTAGTCTACCTTAAACATAATTGTACAGTAACTAGTCTCCTGACCCTAAAACCCCCGTAAGATCCTTAAAATGAAAGATTTAAAACAATTTTACAGCTAGCTTTTCTGGAAGGCAACCTGCCAACAGCAAATCTGAAGGGGTGTGTGTGTGTGTGTGTGTGTCTGTCTGTCTTTGTCTATTCTTCTTTCTTATGACCAGGCAGGCTAAAGAAATATACAAGAATTTTGCTTTCTTGCCACTTTGGAATTCAGAAGTCTTTATATATTTCAACACTCCTCTCGTGACAAGAGAGCAGGAAGGAAGTGTGGAGGGATGGTAGCATGATGGGAAATAGTGTGCCTGCAAACCAAACCAAAGCTAGTAGATCTAGTTTTAGGCCTACCTGCCTGAAGCATGTCCCCTTATTCTTAAATATATTTTATTAATAAATTCATATAAATAAATACATATGGAAACTTGAGACTTGCAGAAAATAAAGCTTACTTTGCAGTTCCACTATAGCAACTTCATACAGTTTCCAAAACAAATATCTAATGAGAAATAGTTGAACATATTAAAATATTTTTATTACTTCTGCAATTGGAATTAAAGACTTGTTTTGATATCAGAGAGCAGAAAATTCAATGACTTGGTCTGATTTGATATTAAAGCCAAGTATGATCAAGTCTTTAGGAGTTTTAATCTCCACCAGTCAGTAACAGTAATAATCCATGCTTCTTAGCCAGACCAAGGAATGCAATTTCAATGGATAGGAACTTTTGACTTAGTGTGTGCCTGAAATGTGACTTGGGAATGAAATTAATCATGGTGGCATGTTGTTATTTATTTATTCATTTTCCAGTAATAACTAGATGCCCCATTGTGCAGACCCTTTATAAATACATAGTAAAAGACAATATCTGCCCTGAAGAACTTAGTCTCAGGCCCTGATCCTGCAAAGACTTTTGCAAATGCTGAACTTGACATACTGTAAGTAGTCTCAATGAAGTCAATAGGGCTACTCACTCTGCATAAAGCTGAGCACATGCATGGTAGGGGCCTACATTAAAACCAGGTGTAATGAATGGGCATAACGAATGAAAAGGTGATTACATAGTTTGGCTGAGTGCACACTTTTTAGAATTAGAAGGTGTCTAAAATATAAAATAAGATTAATACCATAGCATAAATATATACAACATTATATTTAAAGAATTTTAGGTTGCGGAATCAAGCACTCCAAAGTAGGAAATGCCTGTGAAACTTTAATTCAGCCCCTTTGTGCATGTGTATTAGGATACAGTCTGTATTTTCATTATACCTGGCCATTTTTTCCATAGAACTCCTGTCTCATTCATCACACAGGATGGACCTGTCCTAGGGAGGGCTGAGGGTTATGTAATAAAGGAGACTTGTTTGTATGACCCCTGTTTCATTTGTTGCAGAATGTGAAAAGTGTGTAATGAATGAGACTAAGTCCCTATTTGGTGCTAAAGGAAAGTCATGTAAAGCAAACTTTTTATAGATGATCACTAATTGGGTATTCCTCATTTTCTCTAGGTGCCCAATCTGAGGCACCTGAAGTCTGATTTGCCAAAGTGCTGAACACTCACAGCTGCATCTGGGCTGTGCTTTGCAAATATAAAATGCTATAGAATGCTAACTATTCTGAATAATCAGGCCCTAGGCATCACAAATTGGGCATCCAGAATTAGTGGAGACTTTCAACCTTAATCTCTCTATGCCTTAGTTCCCTGTCTGTCTGTGAAATGGGGATAATACTACTACTTCACTTAACAGGGCTGTTGTGGAAAGAAATTCATTGATGTTTGTGGAGCAGTCAGCTCCTATAGTGATAAGTGTATAGAAAAGCCCATGAGGAAATTAAAAATTCTGTATTCAGAGCAGGGTTTGAGTAGTGGGTAGTAAATAAGCCATGGGGCCACACATTGAGCAATGAGGATAAAACAAAATATTTAATAGTGTCGGAGAATAACAGAGCTTCCACAATAGCTACTTATTCAGTGAGCACCATCCATCCTGCAGAAAAACGGTATGTAATTAAAGACTGTGTCATAATGTATACATACAATGGGACAGAAATAAGGTTGCATGGGCAATCATAAATCTGGTGTTTCCTAACTTTTGAATGTTTGACTTCGCAATGTAAATAATGTTGTTTTAACATAGTTTTTTTTGTTTTTTGGAGGGCAGAGCTGGGCTACAGGAAGAGCAGGGTTGAGCGGAGCTATGGCTTGGGTCTGGAGTCGGGCTGGGGGTAGAGTGGGGCTGGATGGTGCTCCCTCCCTGCCCCCTGTGTGGGTTGGCCCGGGCCCCACTGCATGGCCCCCCCGAACATTCCTCTGTGCCCCCCCCCACAGTTTGGGGACCTCTGCTGTATGTGGACTAGCAGCAGAGCAGAAGATGGAGCACTTTACCAGTGGGTTCATAGGTATTTGCTCACAGCAGAGGAGTGATAAGACATGGATTTCTTGGGTTCCATTTCAGGTTCTGGAAGAGAGTTTTCTCTAGCAATCACAGTAGCATAGCTAGCGGGGTGCAGGGGAAGCAGCTGCTTCCCCTCAGCACATTTCCCAAAAGCGGCGCCTGCCGGGCTGGTGCTGGGGGCAGCACGGCCGGAGGAGCCATGGGGGGGGCGGCAGGCGCGGCTGGAGGAGTGAGGGGGCCGGCTCCTCGGCTGTCGCCCCTCACGCGGCACCAACATCACCGCAGGCGCAGCCACCTCCTGCGGCAGCTCAGGGCTCGGCGGCCAAGCGCTCCCCGCCCCGAGCCGGGATATGCCCGCAGCGCGGGGCCGGGATCGGCCGGGGACAGGCAGTGGCGCAGGACAGAAGATGAGCGGCGGGGGTCCGGTGCCTTGCACTGGGGGGTCCCCTCTGGGTGAGGGGCTCCCCGGGGCTGGGCCCGCAGGGCAGGGGCGCAGGCCGCGCTGTCTGGACGGGGGGCCCTGGCGCGGCGCAGGAACCTGGAGCCCGGGGCGGGGGGGGCCGGGACCCCGCGGGTGGGGCCGGGCAGCGCAGCCCGGCGAGGGACACCTGCAGAGCGGGCTGGGCAGGAGAGACTCTCCCGGGACCATGGGGGGACGGGGGTATCCGCACTCCCGGGAAGCCCGCAGGAGTCCTGAGCCGGGCCCCGGGGTTAATCTGGGGGGGAAACGGGAGGAGCCAAGGGG